TATTTCCTGTGCGTAGTGTCCATTGTCTATATACAGCTTCCTACCCTCTTCCCCCACTAATAACCCCGACATTGACAAACGCAGACTGTATTCACCTAGTTGTGCTTGCTCGGGTTGAGCTTCGGCAATATGGTCCCACCTCTCAACTATCAATAAACCGGTGTACTGTAAAGGTTCCTGAGCCTATTAGGCTCTATCATGTCTACATTTGACACTGTGTATGGAGTCTGCCTCCACCATATCACTTCTAGTTATAGTTCATTCCATTTGTTCTTTCCTTTAATTGAATTCGTAAATGCGAGACGAAATCTTACATAGACCTCTTTTTAATTTATATTATGAGGGTGAGATAGCATCTCTGCTGGTTTGAATCATTCAATTACAAAAGAAATACCACGTCACTGAGCTAATCTTCAGAGATGTGTATAGAACTGTAGACCACATCACGCCCCATGAAACACTACTCCACTCACATAGGCAGCCTAATGCTGCACATCTCTGGCCTTCGCATTCCTCTTTCTTACCTATAATAATAATAATAATAATAATAATAATAATAATAATAATAAATAAATAAACAGTATCATTAATATACATATACAGTCTCGTTCATATACAGTGTCATAACCCATACCAGACAGAAAGATATCAGCATCGCCTCAGATATCAAGTCTAACCTCTAACATCAAGTTTAATCTCTTGCATTAAAGCACAGCAACAGCTCGTTTATTATACGTGTGTAGACTGAAATGAATAACCTTGGCTGACCACATTCCAAATATAACATTGACTACTTCATTTATAAATAGACCCAGAATTAAAGAATCAATGCAGTTGATGCCTTCATGGGTATCTTGCATGTCATTTAAGCACTCAGAACATAATGTAGTAGTGGTAGTTTCATTATTATTATTATTATTATTATTATTATTATTATTATTTATTATTATTAGTAGTAGTAGTAGTAGTAGATGAAGAAATTTGTAGTAATAATTGGAGGAT